GGGAAGACAGCAACTGGTGCCTGTCCTGGTGTAGTTGGAGGAACGGCCCGTCAGTGTCCCCACTTTCACTGGCGGGCCCGCTCTTTTGGCCGCACCGTGCAGGTAGCTATAAGATGGTCCAGAGCCCAACAGTAAAGGCACGCCCCGGTGCGGATATGGCGGGCCCGCTCTTCAGGGTGCAGATGGGCACATCCCAAGTCCATGGGTTCCTCTGGGTTGCGACGGGTGCTGGTATTGGAGACCCCCAGCCGAGGAAGAGCCCTGTTGACGAACGATCCGGATGGCCAAGTTGACTAGGGAGCTAAGGTCAGGGGGCTCGTCCTTCATGTTCAGTTCAGCCTTGATGTTCTCGTTGAGGCCGTGCCAGAAGGCTGCACGTAATGGGCGGTCCTCCCAGCCGGCCTCCATAGCAAGGACCCGGAAGTCAATGGAATAATCCAAGACTCGTCGAGCCCCCTGGCGAATAGTCAGAAGCTCCCTTGACACATGACTCTGCTGAGATGATGGAGAAAAAACCGTCCTCAAGTCATCCAGGAATTCAGTGATGGTGGTGCCGATGAGTAAGCCACTGGAGTCCGTAGCCTTGGCCCAAGAAAGCGCTTTACCTCTGAGTCAATTGATTACATAGCTGATTTTTTCTCTATCTGTGCGATATGTCCGTGGTTGGTGCTCGAACACCTTGCGGCACTGCAGCAAAATCCTCAGCATTTATCCACAGTACCATCAAAAATGTCCGGTTCAGGTATGGGAGGATCAGGACGGAGACTGGTCGAATGGGTGGCAGGGTGACTTTGTTGGGACAGCATGAGGGTGGTAAGTTGTGCTACTTGTTGTGTAGGCGTAGCCAGATCGTGTTGTTGCTGCTGCAGTGCCTGAGCCAGTTGTGCATTAGACGGAGAATTACTTGCACCGGAGTGAGCAGGGTCCATAATGGCCAGTTCTTTCTGTTAGGAACGCTCTGGTAGGGAGGTGAGTGAGTAAAAAATGACGAACCCAGGTAGCTGACTTCGGTGCAAGAAGTGCTCTATTTATTTACAGTGACGATAAATATGTGTACAACCAGGTGAAGGAATACGGAGCAGAACCGGGTGTTGAGCGGCAGTCATGGAAAACATACAGTCAGTGATGGGATGATAAGGAGGAGGCCGGGCTGCGGACGCTA